CTTTTTAAAAGAAGTGTGCAAAAATTGTCATCAGTTCAGTTCAGTCACTCAGCCATGTCCAACTCTTTGTGACTCCATGAATCGCAGCACGCCAGGCCTCCCTGTCCATCACCAACCCGGAGCCCACCCAAACTCATGTCCATTGAGTCGGTGATGCCATTCCACCATCTCATCCTCTGTTGTCCCCTTCTCCTCCTGCCCTCAGTCTTTCCCAGCATCAGGGTCTTTTCCAATGAGTCAGCTCTTCACATCAGGTGGCCAAAGTATTGGAGTTTCAACTTCAACATCACTCCTTCCAATGAACACCCAGGACTGATCTCCCTCAGGATGGACTGGTTGGATCTTCTTGCAGTCCAAAGGACTCTCAAGAGTCTTCTCCAACACCACAGTTCAAAAGCATCAATTCTTCAGTGCTCAGCTTTCTTTATAGTCCTACTCTCGCATCCATACATGACTATTGGAAAAACCCTAGCCTTGACGAGATGGACCTTTGTTGGCAAAGTGATGTCTCTGCTTTTTAATATGCTGTCTAGGTTGGTCATAACTTTCCTTCCAAGGAGTAAGCGTCTTTTAATTTCATGGCTGCAATCACCATCTGCAGTGATTTTGGAGCCCCCAAAATAAAGTCTCTCACTGTTTCCACTGTTTCCCCATCTGTTTGCCATGAAGTGATGGGACCGGATGCCATGATCTTAGTTTTCTGAATGTTGAGCTTTAAGCCACTTTTTTCACTCTCCTCTTTCACTTTCATCAAGAGGCTTTTTAGTTCCTTGCAGCGATCAATGGAAAGAAATAGAAGAAAACAACAGGATGGGAAAGACTAGAGATCTCTTCAAGAAAATTAGAGATACCAAGGGAACATTTCATGCAAAGATGGGCTCAATAAAGGACAGAAATGGTATGGACCTAACAGAAGCAGAAGATATTAAAAAGAGGTGGCAAGAATACACAGAAGAACTGTACATAAAAGATCTTCACGACTCAGTTAATCACAATAGTGTGACCACTCACCTAGAGCCAGACATCTTGGAATGTGAAGTCAAGTGGGCCTTAGGAAGCATCACTATAAACAAAGTTAGTGGAGGTGATGGAATTCCAGTTGAGCTATTTCAAATCCTGAAAGATGATACTGTGAAAATGCTGCACGCAATATGTCAGCAAATTTGGAAAACTGCAGTGGCCACAGAACTGGGAAACGTCAGTTTTCATTCCAATCCCAAAGAAAGGCAATGCCAAAGAATGCTCAAACTACTGCACAATTGCACTTATCTCACATGCTAGTAAAGTAATGCTCAAAATTCTCCAAGCCAGGCTTCAGCAATACGTGAACCATGAACTTCCAGATGTTCAAGCTTGTTTTAGAAAAGGCAGAGGAACCAGAAATCAAATTGCCAGCATCTGCTGGATCATTGAAAAAGTAGGAGAGTTCCAGAAAAACATCTATTTCTGTCAAAAAAACATCTTTTTGACTATGCCAAAGCCTTTGACTCTGTCGATCACCTCAAACTGTGGAAAATTCTGAAGGAGATGGGAACACCAGACCACCTGACCTGCCTCTTGAGAAACCTGTATGCAGGTCAGGAAAAAACAGTTAGAACTGGACATGGACCAACAGACTGGTTCCAAATAGGAAAAGGAGTATGTCAAGGCTGTATATTGTCACCCTGCTTATTTAACTTCTATGCAGAGTACATCATGAGAAACGCTGGGGTGGAGGAATCACAAGCTGGAATCAAGATTGCTGGGAGAAATACCAATAATCTCAGATATGTAGATGACACCACCCTTACAGCAGAAAGAGAAGAACGAAAGAGCCTCTTGATGAAAGTGAAACAGGAGAGTGGAAAAAGGTTGGCTTAAAGCTCAACATTCAGAAAAATTGTCACATATATATTTATAAACAGAATTGATTTGTCAAAAGGTGTAGACACACTTATCATTTTGTAAATAGAGCCACACTGCGCTCAGAAAATTTACATTCCCGTCTACCAGATGTGAGACTACTTGATCTACCCTTTAGTCAACACCAAATGATGTTGGTTTCTTCACTTTTGCCAATCTGATAGACCACAGGTCATATTTTGTTTTAAATTTTTTATTCTCTAACTGTATTCATGGCTTGAAATACTAATACTGTATGTAATATGATATCCCCACGTTTTATACCCATTGTAATGCAGATGTAAAATATTCAGCTGCCTATTGACATCTCTTAATAGTCATCTGAAGGTGTCCAAAATCAAACCCCTTATCTTTTACCCAAACTTGTTCCTTTCTTGCTCTTTCATGTGTTGGTTAATGATTGATCCATACTACCCCATTGCTCATGTCACAGTTTTGGAGGCATGCTTGCTTTCTTCTTTCTGTGTCTTATGTTTCACATTCAAGTCCCTCTGAAAGCCTGCTTGCTTTCATAATACATCCAGAAGCCTCCTACTTCTCTTCAGGTTAGTGGCTACCACCCTGGTGTAGGTCTTAATAATCTCTTGCTTACTCTATTTCTATTGCTTCTCTGGTGTCTCTGCTTTTCCTTGTCTTCCTTTCGTCCTCTTCTCAGCTTAGCCACCGTATTAGCTTTCTAAATGCCAAGTGAATCATACCTCTTACCTGCTCGAAATGCATTATAGACATTTTGTGTCTCTTTCAGTGAAAGACAAAATTCCTGCAGGGTGCTCACCAAGTCCTTCATGATTTATCTCTGTGGATGCTTCTCCCATTTGTCTGACCTCATCTCCTCGTTTCTGTGTATCTTCCTTTCAGCTTCCATCACACTAGCCTCCATTGGTTTCCTTCCTGGAGCACCTAGGAGGTCTAGCCCAGCTCCCCAACTTCCATCAGGCCGCTCACATGTCATCTCAGCAAGAATTTCCATGGCCGCTGTTTAAAGTAGCTACCCCTTTCTCTGAAAGCGTTGACACTCTCCTGCCTTGCTCTGTCGTTCTCTGTAGCGTGTATCTGGTATTTCATCATTTGCTAATTCTTCTCTCTGCTGGCATAAGAGCCCAGTGGGGGCGGGGGCATTTGCTTTCCTTTGCACAACTGTAGCCACAGAATATAAAACAAGACTGACATGAAGTGCATGTCATAGACTTGGCACAAAATAAATAATGAAAGAAGTGTAAAGAGTGCTATTTGGGGAACAGTCCTTTTGTCCTTTTGGAGGGAATTTTTATGTTTTCTTTTTAATTTGTTATAACCCTTTATATTAGCAATTTAAAACTTTTGGTTTATGTTGCAGATTTTTCTGTGTCCCAGATATTTTTGTTTTGCAGTTTTAAATTTAATTCTTTCTCTCACCTGAGTACCTGGGTTTCTGCCATCCTTAGAAAGTCTTTCCCTACACAAAGATTATTTAAATATTCACTATTTCCTTCTAGTATCTTATTCTTCAGATTTGAGAAAACATCTGAATTGAAATGGGATTTGTCTCTTGTAACAGGTGGGAATAGGCACAACTTAATTTTTTCTGAATGTCTCAGTTGCCTTACAACCATTTACTGAACAATCCAGTTGTTTAGTCGCTAAGTCATGTCTGACTCTGCGACCCCGTGGACTGTAGTCTGCCAGGATCCTCTGTACATGAGATTTTCCAAGCAAGAATACTGGAGTGGGTTGCTGTTTCCTTCTCCGGAACAATCCAGTATTCTTATACAAATTTGAAATGTCATCTTTTCCTACACTAAATGTTCCTATATCTTGTATTGTGAAACTCTTTGCTCTATTTTGTTGACATATTTATTCCTTTTTCTCATTTAAATATCTCTGTAACTAGTACATTTGAACACCTGTAGTTTGTCCTGAGTTTTAAGTATTTGTTCCTCCCATGCTCTATGTGTATTTTTCACAGTCAAAAAAGCACAACAGTCTCTTTTTCACTAACATTATGTTAATGGGTAATATTTATATCTTTAATATTACAATGTCTATTAGACTAGGAAAATGTATAAATATATATCCTATAAATAAAGTGACTTCTCTTTAAATTATTCCCATTATTTCTATACCTCAAGTGTCATGACACAGCCCATCAATTGTATGATTTACTTTAACAAGAGAACATAGTTCAGTTTTTTATATATTAGCATTTATGAGCATTGTTATCTTGCCATCATCCATAGTAGAATGTATTTTTCTTTATGAATTTGTAACAAATGGGTTAATACTGATGTGTAATGGAAAACAGGGGAGGTGATAAGCTGTTTTTACTGTTGTTGTTTTATGTTTTAGACCTAGCAGGTGGTTTTCTATTGTTTCTTGCTTATACATATATTTTTGTCTGTCACGTAAGTAATGCTGCTTACCGCATGTATGCTGCTTGACATTTGGCACACTACTGAAACTTTCTGAACCTTAGTTTTCTCATCTATAATATGGGGACCCTAATAGCATTTTATTTATTAAACTGCTGTTAGATTTAAGTGAAATAAATTCATGTAAAGTGTTTATCAAGTGTTATCAATAAAAATAATGTATTTTACCTGCTGTTAATTATAACGTGAGTAAATGCTTGAATTTAATTCAGGGGAAAAGCAGCTCTTAGGACTGAAAATTATTTGAAGTTAGTCAGTGAAGTTGAGAGAAAGGATAGAAACAGCCTCCCTCACACCAGTTTCCTTTGTGTTGAAAATATTGGACCAGCATAAAGTCTGTCCAATGGTAAAGGAGGTTTGGGCTCTAGAGAAATCACATATCATTTCACTCTGCAAAGTAGATCTTGAGAAAGCTCATTGTGTATTCAGATTAGCCTTTGAGATTATAGGAACAATTTCTTTTACTGCTTATCAAGTGTGTAATTAATATGAGAAGTTAAAAATACAGTTGTTTTTCTCCTGTGAATACAGCCTATTTGTGTTTCTGATTTTATGGGAGAATGTCCGAGAACAAACAGGACGTTGTCTGCCTTCCTGTCTCTCCGGGTCCCCATCGTGAATCCGGCGCTGGTTACTGTAACGACTGGGTGATTCTAGGGCCCCCTGACTCAGGATGTCTTCCTTCCACAGACCCACTCGGAGGAGAGGCCGTTCCAGTGTGAGGAGTGTAAAGCTCTCTTCCGGACTCCATTTTCTTTGCAGAGACACCTGCTTATACATAACAGTAAGTCACAGTCCTGGCAGATGACAACCAAAGGAATTATAACCTATTAAAATGTAGACATCACAGAAGCAGAACTATAAAGTAGTTACGTAATCTGCTTTTGAACTTAAAATAGATTCTTGCCTTTCACCTTTTCTTCCTCTGTTCTTGCTTCATTTTTGCAAGGTAAGATGGATCGTTTTATGAGGCATATTGTTGTATATCATTTTTCCCACTCTTTAAAGCTTGTGTATAAAACCATGTCATGGTCAATAGAGTATCTTTGAAATTTGCTCTGAAAGAGACATTTATGTTCCTTTTAAGTGTAATAATTAAGGGATGCTTTAAAACATGCAGATACCTGGCATGATTTTATTGGCTCACAGGCTTTTACAGTGAGAAAGAATCAGAGTCAGCGTCTAGCTTGAGCTCTTCACTTGAGGGGAGTTGGGAAAATCGAGGCTCAGAGAAGCATCACGACGCACTCCGGGCCGCACGGCACGGTGGGGCAGCAGGTATAGCACGCCAGCGTCGGCTGCTCTGCTCTGATTCTCATTTCTTTTGGCAAGGGCATTTTTTTTGAGAGGAAGTGAGAATTAAGTTATTTACATATATACCATGAAAGTGTGTCTAGCAGTTACACTGAGAGCTGATTTTAGAATACCACACTTTAAAGAAAATGTAATTGCAAAATGAACTTTTAAAAGTGAGTTGTGTTCAGATGTTGAAGTAACCAGAGATGTGTATCTGCTTTGCTAAATCTAAAGTTAAATAAAAACGGTATAACATAAGTAATACCTACAGGTCTTGCTTTTAATTTGAGTTGTTTAATCAGTAGAACATCCCCTAACATATAGTTTCTACTGCTGATTAAATTTTTAATATTTCTGAGGAAAGCAGAACAATCAATCTTGACATTTTATTGTACAGATAAGCTATTATCTTGGAAGAAATTTTCTCTGGTGAAGTCAAAGTATCTAACATGTAAAATAAGAAGGTAATGAAGTTTCTATATTTATGGAGTGGTAACAGTTGTGACGAACTGCAACTTTTCCTATGGAAAAGACAGTGCTGTGATTTCATGTCATTCTATAGTCACCTTACAGCTCTAGAGAAGTTGTTAGCACCACTTTCCATTTTCCTTATAAAGAACAGCTATGCATTTAAGAAATAAATTTTTTCATTAACAGCAGGAATTTCCATCTCATTTTACTGTCATTTGATTAAGAGAAAACCTGTTATGAGCTGAAGGGACTTTAGAATAGGGATTCAGACAAGGGAATCTCATTTATATTGTTAAGACTTCCATATCTGTTCTTGGTCTGATGCTCAGGGAATTTTTTCTGATGGATGAAATTTTTTGTAGCAGCAAGAAGCTTTTAGTTGAAGCAGATATTTTTGATTTCAGCCCTTTGGCTCTCACCCACTTGAGGCTAAGATGACGTGACTGAGCGTGGACAGAGCTTGTGCTTTCTGCATTTCACGTGATGCTGATCTGCTGGTCAGCGCAGCAGCCAGGGGCTTTATGAGGCCACATCAAGACATTAAGCCAGGAAGGGCACCTTGGGTAGTGGCTGAGCAAATGTGTCCTATAGGGTAAACATCACTTAAGGCTAGTGAGCTGAAAGGGTGGGAAAACCAAAAATGGCTAAAATAGAGAGGACAAAATACTAGATCTTGTCTTATCTAATATAAAAGTTACAGCCCATTTAACTTCAAAATAGATTTGTTTTAGAAACTTCTATTAGCACTATGGCTCCAAATATGAAGAATAAGTTGTCATAATTATTTTGGAAGTTATTGTTTTTTTCCTAATACACTGAAGACCAAAAGGCAGGTTGCTAGCTTGCTTCTTGGTTTTAAGATAGGGAAAAATCCTGGTAAATTTAAGGTAAAGAAATCTAATAAAATCAGATAAAATCTCACATGAGGATTTCAAGGTTCTGATAAACTTTAAAATAAAAAATCAGGAATTAAAATATGAAAACAAAAAGGTATGTACTACCTTGGTATAGCTTGATGAGATTTGTGTACAGGAGCCAATATTTTGATTCACTTAATGCTTTAAGGGAAATACTTTAATAAGAGCAAACTTGGAGTAGTTTTATCCAGTGCCTGAGTAGATTTGGTATTATTAACTTTTAGAGTCTTACATCAGTTGTCCTTTCACTCTCACTGGTTATACATTTTATGCAAATAAAATATTAAATCACGAAAGATACATGAAGAGAAATGAGATGACAGCAGTAACAGCCTGCAGCAAGAATGCACAAAGGCAAGATACAAACCCAGCTCTCGGAATCTACACAGTTCACGCACAGTTTGGTGCACTATTTCAGGTGTCCAACTCACAGCTCAACAGCTTCCTCACAGACTTTGAGGCTTTCAAGAGCTGAACTTCTGTTTGAAAAGACGAAGGGGAGGTTATTTGCCTTTTCCTTTTTATTTTCTTCTTGTCCTCCCTTAAACTGGTGTGAAGAAATAATAGGGTCTTCAAATTTCTAAATATATGCTAGTTAGAATGGAGGGGAAGGTAAAGGATCTTGGTTGAAATTGAGATAATCTCATATTTAGGTAAAGAAATTTACCAGCATATTTTGTCTTATAATGGATATAATTTGTGAATTTGTGCTATTATAATTGGTCTAAAAAGGGAGGATATATGCAAACATTAATCTGTCTTTATACAGGTTGCATATGTTTTATGACTTTTTGGGAGAGATCACTATCTTCTAATTGGGCACATGGATCACTTAAAATGTATTTAAAATGGACTTTAGACATAGATTGATATGAAAGTTTAAAAAGTCCCACCATCTCCCTAAACCTATCTTCTGGAGTACTTGCCTGCAAGGGGAGGCTGTTTAATGAGCAGGTGAGAACCCTCCCAGGCACCCAGGGCTCTGGGGTAGGAAAGGTCGTTGCCTGTCTGGTTCCCCTGCCTCAGTGCAGATGCCTCTCTGAGATGTGGCCCCCAGAGCGGCACCTGGACATGGAAGCCCGTCCCCAGCCTTATTGCAGTGAGCTGAGGACAGCGCCAGTGGGCTGAGGGATAAAGGGGAGATGCAGCCCGCTCCTGTCTCGGGGTGGAGGACGCACTCTGACCTCCTCCTTCGGGCCTTCACAGCAGCTTCCTGTCCGAGCGCCAGCTCTTCCCTGCTTCTGACGGCCAGAGGAGAGTGCTGGGGTGCGGGGACTTCAGGAGGGCCCGCAGGGCAACTCACTGCCGGGCACAAGTGCCTGGGCCCCTCATACTCAAGCCCCTTCCTTCCTAGAAGTACTGGCGTTAAAGTTCTTAGAACCTTCTTAGCTAATTTAGTCCCTACATTTTCCAGTTAAAGGCACTGAGAGTCTAAGGAGGTTAAAGGACTCCCCCCTGCCCCCCACCTAATTGACACAGGGGATAGCAAATATGGAACTGAAAAAGTTGTTGGAGGAATTACCTTTTATGATTATGATAAATTATTAGAGCTGTAAAGTTCCGTTTTTGGAGAAAACAACACTAAATCCGGTAGACATGAAGGGGTGTTAACAGCACCCTGTTGTTGCATCTGGTTCTGTAATTTGATTTTTTCATTTCTAAGGTGAGAGGACATTCAAGTGTCATCACTGTGATGCTACCTTTAAAAGAAAGGACACCTTGAATGTTCATGTCCAGGTGGTCCACGAAAGACACAAGAAGTACAGATGTGAGCTGTGTAATAAGGCATTTGTTACACCTTCAGTGCTTAGAAGTCATAAGAAAGTAAGTAGAGACCTTCTGTGACTTTGAAAGGATTATGTATTTTAACCGTATAGGTGTATGTGTTAATTAAATGGTAATCAATTTTATATTAATCTATCAACATATTTACTCAGAATGATAAATAAGGAACCCATGATTGATACTAACTCTTCAGCATATGTCTGTTTTCTTCATTTTATCAGAAGAGGATATGTTTGAAAGCAAACCTAGATTTAGGTATGATGCTATATAGTCCCACGCTATGCTGATAGTTATACAGACTGCTCAGTGATTGGAGTGGTCCTCCTACGTCTTGCATCCCTAGGACCTAGGGAAGTTCCTGGTATAGAACAGGGACTTGATAAGTATTTGCTCAACTCGAATAAAACGATGTTCATACTGATGGTGATTTGGAGATTATCATAGTTGTGTTATCCTGATTACCTCCAGAAAATCAACAGGTTGTTTTTACTTGTCAGTTAAATGCATTTTAAGTATATTTTTGAAATGGCAAAATTCATACTATGGTTAATGAAGCTGAAGGTCTCAGTGTTGACTTTAGAAATGACTGTGACCTGTGGTAGTGTCCTGTTGCTCATTGTGCCCTGCTGAGTGAAGGTTGAAGTGACTTCTGTCATTATAACTCTTATTTTGGCACCTATCCTTAATACAGCTGTTTCAAAAGGACTGAACTGAGTAACTTTCTTTTCTTGCATCTTTAATGCTCAGTAATAATGATACTGTCTTCTCTTTTCAAAACTCTGAATAGAATAATGTTTTAATTTCCATTGTCGGATTACTTTTTCATGAATTTATTAACCTTTTGTTGTGTTTTAATCAATGAGAGAAAATGTAGTGTGTTTTCAGGAAAGATAGAGTTGTTTGTCTGCAATGACAGGTTGTCATAGAAGATATTTTCCAGTGTATTGTTTATTTTTCACTCCTGTATTTATCCACATATTGTTCTCATGTAGATTTGTTTCCATGCTTTCTTACCCATATTTAAGATTTTTAGTGTTATACTTTCAGTATCATCTTATACCATCCAATCAAATTCTGCACCTAATAATACATATTTTTGAATTAAACTGAAAGGAACATTTTAATTATTTTCATTACTATTGCCTTAATGTCCTTTAGTTTGAAACTTATACCAGTGAAGTACAAGTAACTGAGTTATAAGTAAGGGAACAGTGAGATACTTATGTAACAGCAAGAGAGATCCTGTGGATTTTATAAAGATATTACAAATAACTTGGTAGTTGCCTGTTTGGAATAATCCGAAGTACATTTTATAGCTGTATAAAATTTCTAAACAGTGTTACATTAATCAGAAAGAATGGCCATATTTTGCCCCTTCTGTCAGGGACTAAGAACATAGGTCTGTTCTATGTTAAAATGTTATACCATTTCTTTAAACTGAACCATAATGTGGACCATGGGAATAACAGTTCTTGCTGAGGTGTAAAGAATGTATAACTGTTTTGTACAAGAACTTGTAGTGAAAATGGAAAGTTAAGTGCCTGCCAAATGCAAAATCAAGGAGCCGTCTGTTGTAGACAGTATCATTGGCTATTATGGCTGTTGATTAGACTGTATTTCTCAAACTTGTGAATCATATAAATCTTTTTCAACAGAGAAAACCTAAAGGACACTGAAGTTGAGGAAGATATTTCATTTATAACTTTTTACAAATTACAAATATGATAGTTTATATCCAAATACAGATTATAATTCAAATATGAAAATTTATAAAGTAAATATCAACCAGTAAGGTAATGAAACTGAGTTATATTAACAATCAATCTGGGGCTTCCCTGGTGGCCCAGTGGTAAAGAATCCACCTGCCAATGCAGGAGGTGCAGGTTTGATCCCTGGATCTAGAAGATCCTCTGAAGGAGGAAATAGCAACCCACTCCAGTATTCTTACCTGGAAAATCCCATGGATGGAGGAGTCTGGCGGGCTACAGTCCATGGTGTCACAAAAGAATTGGATACAACTTAGTAGCTCAGCAAGAGCAACAGAAGTCGTTTTAATATTGAAGATGAGAATGTTTTGCTGAGTTTGTGATTCTTCAGGTTTGTCAAGTGATGACATCAATGCTCCACCCTTTTTCCTCTATTCCAGCCAGCCTGTCTTTCCCTTCTGGGAACACATCATTTTTAAAAACTTTTCCTGTTCTTTTTATGTTTTCCTGTTGTTATTGTTTAGTTGCTAAGTCATGTCTGACTCTTTGCAACCTCATGACAATTCAAATAATGATACTTCTAATAATTTGCATAAAAGCAAATGCTTCCAGACATAGGTCCTGGAAGTTCTGTTTTGTAATGGTGGTGGTAACCCAGATGATCCACGGTATGCTTTTATTCATATTCGGGTTATCATTGAAATAAAAAAATCTAAAAATGATTTGAGAGAATGTACAGGTATCTGAAGTGATTGCCTCCTCCTCCCTTCTTTTCCCTTCTGCTAAGTTTGAAAAAACAATGAAACTTGAAGAGTAGCTCTGACCCCTCATTTATTGAAATGACCTATTTTGATGTTGGTAGAAGCACTGGTCACCTAATGAGATTGTGAGACAAGTTTTAAGCATTCCATCTGCCTCCTCTTTTGGGAGAGGTCACTCTTTTTTTTTTTTTTTCTTTGAACTCTCACATTTTATCGAAACTGCCTTTTGATGGTACTCATTCACCTTTCCGTGTGTGGTGGTTTTATGCTCAGATAAAAGATATGTTGAAGGCAACAGTGATCTTTGAGATTGACTGTTCATTTAACACTTGCTGATTTTCAAGATGAAATCAGATTTTTTTTTTTTGCTTTGTATTAAAAGCAATTCAGTTGAACAAACATGATACAAGTAACAGAGTACTTTATTGAGATTTATTCTGTCTTCAAGCAATAAGTGCACACAAAGAATGTGAAAAATGCTTCTAAAGAAGGGTTTCTTGGCAGCAGTCATGGGCAGGTGTAGCCCCATTTTGATTATGTGGTTTTGCTAGCATATACTGGTTGTATAACTTAATCATTTTTAGATGGGGGCTCCATAAAGGCTTAAAATGTAAACTGCAGAATTATTTTCAAATTTACACTAATGCGTGATTCTAAGAGGTTTTTTTGAACCAGTGGGAATACCCATGATAAATTTTTAAAAATCTCATTGTGATATTAAATCATTTTAAAGAAACATAATCCTGGGAAAAAAGGATTTACTGTTGTCAGAGGCACTTAATCATTTTTACCTAATTCTTTACATTTATCCTCAACCCTTTTTATTTCTTTCTGTTTAGACGCATACAGGAGAAAAGGAGAAGATCTGTCCATATTGTGGCCAGAAGTTTGCCAGCAGTGGAACGCTGAGAGTTCACATCCGTAGCCACACAGGTATGTGGGCTGTGCTTGGCGATAAAGACAACATAGAGAAATCAGTTCCTCCAGGATAAAGAGTTTATAATTTTACAAAATGGCTCCAAGGTTAAGAATTAATCTTGACTGTTTTCTCTCTTATAAAGTTTTATAACATCTTGGTTCTTACTCTAGAAAAATTTTGAATAAGTATCCTTTCCCAAACTAAGTTAAATATCTAAAGTGGAAACTTTTTAATGTCTGTTTGTGATATGACTGTGATTTACTTTATATGCTAGGCTAATGGATGGAATAGGGAATAACAGTTTCGTAGAAGGCTGAGGGCCTCCTCTTAAAACTCTTCCTTTAACTCGCATTAGATATGCCCTTTTAAAATGTTAGACATCCTTGGAATGTGGTTTGAATGCTGTAGGATTTTGTTGAATACAAGGGTGATGTGACCACAGTATCTTTTATGCCATAAATTGCTTTCTAAAGGGTTTCTTAATTTCTTATGACTTCCTATGTAATTTCTCCCTTGAAAGAGGGCTGTGCCCTAGTGAAGGGTGGAGGAGCATCTGAATACTCTTGAAAGAATTTTGTTTGGGTTTTGTCTGTCATGTAGAGAAGTACTTGAAAAGACTTGAAAGAATGCTCTTAATTTTGATAGCCAGATGTCACAGATGTATGTGACTCTTAAGGGGTCCTCAGGAGCTGGAATGTGTTTGGTAAACTCTGCAACTGGATTACATTGCTGAAGCTTTTTATTCAAGGGCCATAGTATTTGACTTTATCATTGTGTCCCCAGCACCTAACTTAGTGTTTAGCACAGTAACTGTGTGGTGAATGAGAAAAAGTTAGTTTAAGCAGGTCAAAGAATCAATACGGTGACTATTATACATAGATTGAGAAAAAAGGACAGCCATGAAGCATGATTTCTTGTTTTGCAGCGTAATTTCTAATTTTCTGGCTGACGCTTAAAGACCTAGGTCAGCTTAGTAGTCGTCGTCTTCGAATAGCCTCTTAAATGCCTTTAAGTGAAATATGTGACCTAGAAGAGATGAAGCATTATACATGATGACTGTGGAATAATGGGTGGCCTAAAAAAGAAAAAGAGGTCTTCTTGCTTAGAGGTACCTAGAGAAAGTGAGGTTTCCAGGACAGAGTACAGGAGAAGAAGATAACAGAAAGCAGAGTAGGGAGAAGCAAAAAGGAAAGGGCAGCAGAGAACCATGTTGAGGACAGGTGGACTTAAAATAGCTCCTGAGACTGCCAGCACCATGTCCTGTTGTAGAGAAGAGGCAGGTGGACGATGGAGAGAGGGCAGAGTGCTCCCGCAGAGCCGAGCGCCGAGCCCACCTCTGTACCCTGGCAGTGTGGTCTTCGATGCACGGGTACCTCTCTGTTCTGTGCACTGGAGGCCGTGTGGGATTCTGGCAGAGGCAGGGAAAGGCAGGAGTGAGACCAGCAGCCTTCCATTCCGAATCAGTGATGTTTGGAACTGTGTCTTTGCACCACCCTCCTGAAAACGTTAACTTACAGTTTGCTCAGCGGATTTTATGTCTGTCTGTGTGTGCCTGTGTATATGTTGATTTGTGATGGAAGGAGGGCGAGTAGGAAATGGGGAAAGTGTGTTATTTCTTCATATCGTAGTAGTAAGTTTATAATAATGCCCTGAGCCATTACCATGTAATGAAATTACGGTTGGTATAGAATGTTTTGATTTTTTGAATACTTTATTTGTTTATTTGGCTGTGCCAGGTCTCAGTTGTTTCATGCAGAGTCTTTAGTTCCGGCATGTGGGATCTCGTTCTCTGACCCACGATGGAACCCGGACCCCTGCGTTGGGAGAGCAGAGTCTTAGCCACTGGACCAGCAGGGAAGTCCCACGTGTGTCTTTATTTTTTTAATAGCTTTATTTATTTCTGGCTGTGCGGGTCTTTATTGCCGCGTGGGCTTTTCTCTGGGGATGGAGGACGAGGGCTGCTCTCTGGCTGTGGTGCCCGAGCTTCTCACTGCAGTGGCTGCTCTGACCGGGGGGCATGTGGTCTCAGGAGCTGTGGTTCCCGGGCTCTGGCACAGACTCCATAGTTGTGGCACACAGGCGCAGTTGCCATGTGGCTTGTGGGGTCGTCTCGGACCAGAGATTGAACCCATGTCTCCTGCACTGCCAGGAGCCCACTGCACTGAGCCACCAAGGATGCCCACAGATACGTTTCTAAAAGGCGGCGACTGTTGTTCAGAATGCATTAAACTGTGAACTTTAGCACAGAAAAGATGAATCCAACTATAGCTCAGCTGGTAAAGAACACTTGCAATGCAAGAGACCCCAGATCAGTTCCTGGGTCGGAAAGATCCTCTGGAGGCGGGATAGGCTACCCACTCCAGTATTCTTCTTCCCCTCGTGGCTCAGCTGGTAAAGAATCCACCTGTGATGCGGGAGACATGGGTTCGATCCCTGGGTTGGGAAGATCCCCTGGAGGAGGACATGGCAACCCACTCCAGTCTTGTGGCCTGGAGAATTCCAAGGACTGTATAGTCCATGGAGTTGCAAAGAGTCAGACACGACTGAGTGACTTTCATTCATTCATTCATTTTATCATAGAACACTTGATTATTCAAAAATATTGCATCCTTGAGAATTCCAAGTGCCCGCATTTTATTTTACTTGTAGGTACGTGGACAGTGGAGAAGAATAAACTTAAACAAGTAATTTCTTCTAAAATTTTAATTAAAAAGTTGTATTAATAAGATTTTTGAGCTCCAAGAGTTTTGTCTGATAAAAATATTTAATAAGTGTAGTGGTTTTTGTTGTCATATATTATGTTCTGTATGATATGTAATCTAAATAATATTTAATCATAACATTTTATATATGATCAGGCTATTTAAATGTTGTACAGATTCTGTTCTGTTGGTTTCTGATCAAGAAAACAGGCCACCTGAATTCAGCCAACAGTGCTAAGGTACAGTCAGACAACAGATAAATTTAAATAAATAAAGTGAAAATATAAAGGTGGCTTATGTGTTTGTGTATGTCCCCACAGATAGTTGTGTGTGTTTTAATACTTGCTTACGGACTGACTTAGCATGCACATTTACTTTTAACTAGGGTTTTTTTCTGCTTAAAATTAGACTCATTTTCACATTTTGCAGTGCTGCGTTGAGTCGCTCTGATGAGAAGCCAGTGCTTTTGCTGACAGCTGCCTAGCCGCACAGCTGGGGTTATATTTGAAACGGTTGGTGCCAAGCAGTTGGTCAGTGACTGTGGACCTGGTATCTGGGTTTCCACAGCAGTCCTGGCAGGGATATGTTTTTTTGTGTGGACAGATGTTGCTTTTGCTTCTTTTTTATTTGCTTTGTCCTATTCTCCACATCTTATGCATCCATTTGCCCTTCCTGGAAGCTAGCTCAGTGACCAAATGAGTTTGTGTAGTTACTTATTTTGCTTCTTGATGATAAAGCTTTCCTTATTTTGAGTTCTGTACATTCACTTTTTCTCTCCTTTTATTATTTTTTCTTATGAAATCACGTGATTTAATTCAGCCCTTTCTCACACTAGGTTTTGCAGTTTATGTTTGTGCTACAGTGTAACAGGGGCCCATGCCTGTTACATGATCCTGTTACAGGATCCCATATCACAGCCTACTCTGTTGGAAGCTTTTAGGTATGTGCGGTTAGGGGCTGTGCTGTGAGGTGAGAAAGATGAAGATGGGGTGGGGACAGTCAGGACAGACAGCTGATGCAGCCTCTGAGGAACAGGGCGCCCTGGATCATTGGTGCTCACTCTTTGGCCTCAGCCCTCCTTATCATCTTAGAAATAATTAGTGACCTGGGAAGCTTTTGTTTGTGTGGGTTACATTTGTTTGCTGTTGTTGTTTAGTTGCTAAGTCATGTCCAGCCCTTTTGCAACCCCATGGACTGTAGCCCACCAGGCTTCTCTGTCCTTGGGTTTTCCCAGGCAGAATACTGGAGTGGGTTGCCATTCCCTTCTCCAGGGGATCTTCCTGATGCAGGGGTCAAACCCGTGTCTGCTGCATTAGCAAGCGGATTCTTTACTACTGAGCCACCAGGGAAGCCCAAACTGGGAACATTTAATAGTATTTGTTAATTTGTTAAAAATAACAACAGTAAATCCTTTACATATTAACATAAACAGCACTTTTACAGAAAGTAGCTACATTTTCCTACTCAGAAATAATTTAGTGAGAAGGGAGACATTGTTGTACATTTCCGAAACTTTCTTTAACATCTGGTTCAAGAGGCAGCAGCTAGGTTCTCATGTCTGTTTCTTCATTCATCCTACTGCAGCAAGTTCTTTTGGTTGCAGAATTTAAAGAAAATCTGGCCTCACGCAGATTTGCAGTTCGAGTCCTTAACTATCCTTTGTAAATAATTCTGCATGTTGTTTATTACTACAGTAAAACTCAAAAAGTAGTAGTGTTTTTTTTTTTTTTTTAAAGCTTGTATTGTGGAAATTCAAATCTTCTCAGTGGGCTTCTCCTGTTCTGTTACTTTAAAATCCATTGGTGTGTCTTGTACTTTGAATGATCTTTTACCCTTGCATGATTCTGTAACATGATGCACAGATCATGTGGAAAGTGTTGGCTCACTGAGTTACATAGATCCTGCACATGTGTTAATGTCATCACTGATCTCATTAGACAAGTCTGAAGGAAGCCTTCAAGCATGGTAACAGATACAGATTTTCCAAAATTCTCAATTTTGCTTTGACTGCTCTAATTATTACGTTTGGTAAGGCATATTTCCCTCCCTCCCTGCCTTTCTTCTTTTCTTTTGAAATGACAGACTTTTTCTTTAAAAAAAAAAAAAGTTCACCAAATACCCAAATCTGAGTAACCATATTTCGTCGTCATTTTGTTTTGAGTAAGAATGAAGTTCCATGAGAAAAAAACTGTTAGTTCAGCTCATGAATCAGTCATACAAGTGCTTTTTCTTGACACAACTTTTCATGTATAATATGCATTAAAGGAAGTTATTTCCCATTTCATAGGTAAGAATATTAAAATATGGTACTC